GCTAAATTTGCTAGCGTATGTTAAACACTTAAAATTCCCACATTAAACCACTTTTTCATGAAATTTTACTTGCTTTATGACCAGCTCGTGTTATGAACTAATAACCAACATATTCTTCTATTCAGAAACTAAGGGGTTTTTTTCAGTTATACACACACAAAAAGCATTTTAAATCAAAACTGTCTATCCCCATTCCACTTTCATATCTCTGAGGGCCAAAAAAGATTTTCCTTTAATTTTGTTCAGGGAAAAAATTGTCCCCAGCCTAAGATCTTGTATGTCAAATCTAATCTCAGAGTGAATTATAAACTGCTGATAAGGCGGCTTTATATTAATGGAAGCACAGTTATAGCCCTCACTATAATATGGTGTCTCTGGTTTCAATTATACTTTGCACAATGCAATATATCTTCAGGAGCATCTCATGTAATTAATCAGGTAGTATTGTAATGCAGACTAGACTAAGGAGAAAACCAGGCATTTGTCGTTTTACAGAGATGGAGAGGGATTTTATTAGTCATTTGGTGAGAGCAGCTCTTTCCAGCGGATTAGTGCATGCTGGTGTATGGAAATTATTCTTCAGTATTCTATTTTTGTCCCTCAGTGAGCAGAGTTTAAAGTTGCTCTGGAATTACACAGAGAAGCTATACATGATTAGCACGAAGTAAAATTGATTTAAAATAAATTACTACTGCAGACCTCTTTTCACAGAGTTTCACTTTGGTCCTGTCATGAAGGGCCGGGGGGGGGAGGAGGGGGGGCTGTAAATAGATTTTATCAATTAAGATCAAAGAGCTGTAGAAATCAGAGATGGAAAAAACCTTGTCAGGTCATCTCTTCTGTCAATGCAAGAACATTTTCTACAGTGTATTTCTCTAATACATGGTCAAACTTCACTTTCAAGACTAGAGTGAAAGGCTTCCACTGTTTCCCTTAGCAGACTATTTCATAGTTACATAAACTTTCTTTATTCCCGACAGCATTTCTGAAATTTCCTTTATTTTTTCCTATTTTTTCTGAATTACATCTTTTCAGACTTTTCTCACACCAGCTTTGTTTATCAGTGCTTCTGTGTTTACCTCTTCCAGAGCCAAAGTTTAAACAAGCTGTATCACTCTTTTATCCTTTCCTCTTGATCCAGTGTTATTAACTCTTTGAAAGTACTTTTTGCTGCTCTTTGAAATTTCCCCAGTTCACTGGCACAATTTGTCTTCTGTCAGTGTAGAGCACCGACGCAACACACAGGAGCTGTTCAAAAAGGGCTAGTCACACCCTTGCCCGTTTAAATGGAGACTTGACCTTTTTTTTGCAGCATTTGTAATTGTGCATGGATTGCAGTTCACTAGTTACCCATATCCCTCAGCTTTTTCAGAATTATCCCAGCTAACTCCCTGAGGCTGAGTAATTGCGTGTGTCTTCAGCTTTTTAGGCAGTCCCTTTATTAGTTACCCTTGCAGGTCTCCAGCATTAGGGCTTTTCAGCTTGGAGAACAGATGACTGAGTAGTGAATAGGGAACGATTATTTGTATTTCCTGTAACATAAAAAACAGGAGCATCAAATGAAATGGCAAAGGGATAAACAACATGATTTCCTGTGTCACGTTATGCATATTTAAATTGTGGAATTAACTACCTCAGCACATTTTGGATGTCAAAATTAGGAATAATTCTAAAACGTGATTAGACTAATGGAATAATGTAAAAAAGTGTTATTAAGCTCAACAGAGTAGGCTCCTCCCAAGGAAATTCTTAAACTACTGAAGAACTAGGGAAGGTATTGCAGCAGAAATGTCAGTTTATACTTGCCCTTCTCTATATCATTCCTGAAGCATCACTGCAGAACCTGGTCAAATACAAAATACTAAATGAGGCAAACCATAGACGTTATCCTTTACAGTCACTTGTTATTTATATTCTACTAACATTAATACTCAAGCAGATCGCCAACTGATCCTTGAAAAAAACACCAGCTTCCAGTCTAACTTTTTTGTTGGCTAAAATCATTCTGTTTTGCAGGTGGGTAAAAGGAATAGCTTCTTTGAAAAGAAACATACTGGTGTGACCAGTTCAGCAGCTCATTCGATGCAAGAGATTTTTTTTTCCCTTACTCCACTTCACTCAGCTGCTGGCTTTCATTAGTTTAAATTGTAGAATGAGACAGATGGTTGATTTCTGAAAGCATTTAGGTATGTATGGAAAAACCCGTTTTTCTCAGCCAAAAGAGACACAACAAGTAAACATCATTTAAGAAAACAAGTATATATACAATCACAATTAAAACGTTGATTTGCATGTTTTAAGCTTGTTGTATATCATACAGAAACTAGAAGAATTTAGTAAAATGAGAACTTCCAGTTGGGACTGAAGGAAAACTTCCATCCTCATAAATCAAGATTCCCAATGACTTCATGCTTCTGAATACGTTCCTGCTCTCAAAAAATAACACTGCAGTCATTTCAATGATGTAGTAGCCAGGAGGACATGATCGTGTACCTACTGGTGTCAGTGACAATACTGCAGATGACTTTCAGTGGTGCAGGATCACATTCATAACCAGCACCCTTTGTTTTTCAGAAACTCGCAGAACTTTGCTGCTACTGTTCAGACCTGTGGCAGTCACATACTTTTTATGTCTTAGGAGAATAGGCTCTGACAGCACTTGTGTTGTATTTCACCGTATGCAGCCATGGAAAAAAGTGAAGCACAAGCACAGAACAGATGTTCTTTACTATATAAGTTTAAAATAAATGTGTTTGTGATAGACTCTTGTTAAGACCTAGAAAAATCCTCACTGAGATAAACCTGTGGTATGATCTGTTTGGTTATAACTGGTGTGATCTAACAGCAAGATTGCAATAGTTACCTCTTTCTGACAACAGCACAGTTAAATACGTTGCAGTCTGTTAGAGATGCCTTTTTACCATGTAAACAGTGATAGAGTTGTCTGGCTGCAAAATCTAATAATCCAGCTATGCCAGGAATATTTTCACTGTGGTCAAGCAGACTTAAGGCAAAATACAAATGCTCCTATTTTATAAATCACAGTATCTAGCAAACTAGACATTTCCTCTAGCAACACATTTCTTCCTAAATTTTCCATGTTTTCACTTAGGGTTCTCAGTCAGATGGTTCAATGATATCAGGTTTATTACTGAACTGTAGCTGAAAAATATCTTTTTCAAGCATTTTTCAAAGCTACGCCTGTAAACTTCACCTCATTATTTGCTGTACATGTTTCTTCTTTTGTAACCACAGAGCCTTTACAGTGGTAGAAGTGCTCTAATTGCACCTTAAAAATAGATCCTTCCTCATTAGAAATACATAGATTTCTTCAGGTGCTGATTTACTGTGGAATGATGAAGGCCTATGTCAAAGGTACACTTGTAACATGGCCCCCTTAATATGAGTGAGAAGTAAGAACTTAGCTACTTCAAGAATTTGAGCATAATGTCCTCATATTTTTCTTACCTCCAAGACCTCTGTTGTTTTCCATGTTTTCATGACACTTATTTTTGCGGAATTGTTTAATTTATTTTTAAATACTCTTTTTTAAGTGTGCTAGGTTAAATCAAGCCTTGCTGATTAAAAATAGCTTCTCCAAAGCTTGTGTTTGTTGGTTGTTTTAATTGTATTATATTATACTGCCTCCCAGCTCTTTAGGCATCAGAGTGTGTCAACAGTGTTACAGCGATCTTCTTCATATTATTGTGGATTGGAGCATCAAAATTTTACTACAAAAACAGACAATATGTCACAAAGTGGTATTATCAAGGGCTCAGAGACCAAACATTTTCCACATTCTACAACTGAAATAATTTTAAAATCATTTCTTTCAGTTGCAAGAAAACAAAACAGCTTACTAAAACCAGCATGTCTGTTAAATCAAATAAAATCAAAGTCTAATGAAGTCAGTAACATTATTCATCTTGACTTAATGGATTTCATTTGTATGTTACTGCAGAAATTAGTTGCAATTTGAAAAGGTTCATTCACCATGACTTAAAGCCATCCTATCCTACCACAAAAAATAGGGTTAAATTGTAGCAGCAAGCCTTTTTCTTTACTTGGGGTACTTTTCTCTTCCTTTAACTCTCCTTCCTGAAGGGGAATGTATCTTTTCTTTCCATTCATATGTTCTTTGCACTCTTTTTTTCAGCTCTTCCAACCACTGTTTCTACATCTCTTTAGTCTATTGCAAGCCACTCAATTTCCAACCTTAGGAGAAAAAAGATATTTTTATCTCTTCTTTATAATATTTCTGCTTCCTTCTGATATAATTTGACTTTATAACTGGTTTCTTTTAGAATCTGTAAAAAATTCTGTGCTAAATTATTTGTGATATGTCTAAGCAGTCATATTCTGTTGCATTGTATATAAGCGACTACTTCGCTAGTAAATCATTCTTGCTTTATATCAGATGCTTTGAATCAAATTTGTCATAAGTGTAAAACAAAATCATTGCTTTCTCCATCCAGATTGTCATTGCAAACAAACAAGCTGAAGCTATGGAAAATATAGATGGCTTTGGCTTGATTTTGTTATCAGTTATTCCATTAAAATCAATGGAGTTGTACCAATGTAAGCCTGGAGGAAAGAATCAATTTCTGTATACCTATACAAATCTAAATCACAGGTACACTTAGCTGTGTAAAAAGTCTAAATATGATGATAATTTGGAAATACCACAGAAAGTATAGAAATAGATATAATTTATACACCAGTAGGTTCAATTGCATGCAAATAACATGCACATTATGCATCCCAGTGAAATGCAGTCTGGTTTATTTCAGAGAAAAGAGTATGATACTGGTCTAATAAACTGTATGCAAAGTCATGCGTTAATCTTAAATTATCAAGATAAAATCTACAACCTCTCACAGAATACCTAATATATATCTGATAGGAAAACAAGAATGTTATTTAGGCTCATTAGTATGATTTGGTGAATAGTCCCCTTGTTAATACAACCTCTTTTTTCTTTCTTTTTTACTGCTTAATAGAGAAGAAAATCACGTTATTCGGACCTTGACTTTGAAGTAAGTTTTATTGAATTATTCCTGATTATTAAAAGTATTTTCCTAAAAGTAAATGTAAAGTCTTCATTTAGCAGATTTTAGCCTTCTGACACAGTAGATGTCATAGGGTTGTTCAACTGGTACTGTAGAGAACATGATGAGCAATTCATTAAAACTACTTTGGTGCAACTTGTTTGTAAAATATTCTGAGATCAAACTGTCATATTGCAATATTAACCATCATGGTTTCAGTTTTTAAATTCTCTGCCTCTTCATTTTCATCTGTTTTTCTTTTTTTGTTTGTTTGTTTTGCTGGCTATCTATCAGTGGAAAAAGTGTGACACTTCTGTAGGACAGGCCACGCTGTTGCAGAAGGTTGCTTTGTTCAAGAGAGTCGCAATCATTTGTTCTATCTCTCTTTCTTCAATACTAATTTACTGGCATATGAGTTTCACATCCAAATAGTGATTATGAATGTGTCAAATTTTGAACGATGAAGTGCTGCAGTTGCCAAAGCTTATGGATCACATGGTATATATATAAATCAAGTTCATGTAAGGTTATCCACAATTTCAGACTTAGACCCTGTTGAATGAGAAGGTTTGGTTGTGTTAGTTAATGACCATTTTGTTCTATCTCAGTCAGTATGATTAAGTCTCTTAGAGTTTTGTTTATTTGAGGGTTTTTTCTCTACTCTCTACCGGAAGCAATACAGCAGTTAGTTTTCAAGGGGATGATAATAATTTATGGATTTGGGGTTTTCGCATAGGTTGTCTGTTCATGCATGTTAATAGTTTGATATAATTCATTATGTGTGTCTCCAGAGAAACTGAACAATCATAATATTTGCATGGAACATACAGATCTCGGGCTAAACTTTAATATCCAGTGATCAGTATATATCAACCATAACTTTAAAAGTCACCCTCTCTGTTTGCATGTGCAAACAAAAGCATTTTTCATTATTATTATTTGGGCTGTAAGCACAGTACATGTACTTTCAGATTTCAGATTTCAGATTTTAGTCCATAGAAAAGAAAGAGGCAGAACTAGCAAAATGCAGCCATAGCAGTGGTCATAGAAGCCTTGCAATGAGAGAAGGGTTTGCTTTGGTAACCTGCTTTTGCTGAAATGCTGACCTTCCGTGTTCGATTGTGGTTTCTTGGTAGTTTAACATCATGCCTTAATCTCTTATGTCATTTTCCCCCAGAGACTATAGCTACCCTAAGCAGTCATGTAACTTCTCAAATAAAGCATCAAACAATTTCACAGTAAGTTTAAGGAAAATAAAATGAAAATATCATCTTAAATATGCTTTAGGATAAATGCCTAGAAAGGAAGAAGAAAAACATGAATCAATGACAAAATTCTGATGACCAAGCAATTCTGAAATTAAATGCAAGCAATATGAACAGAAGTTTTATAATTATATTTATATAAAGAATTCTGAATTTTACTGTTCTTTATTGAAATGTAGGAATATCATGCCGTTCACAATGAGAACATTCTCTGTGGCAACAGATAGTAAAACATTCGTCTAACCACTCAGGAGAGCATAATCCAACACCAAATAAACACCAACAATGGTATACACATTCTGCTGTCAAGAATCAGACCTCCCATTACATATTTTCTTTTGACTCACATAGTGTATTTAAGATGCTTACACCTTTTTCTTGTCTTGTTTGCAGCATTGTTGCTCCATGGCCTAATATTTTTAGAAGTATGATTATAATGCAGGAAAAGATATTTGTTTGTAAAAAGGGAACGATGGGGCCATTGGGAGTGACTGCTGAGGAAGTGAGAGCGGCAACGATACTGTGCCAGTTGCTGCTGTGTTTCAGAAGTACTGACTCAGACTAACACCATCTCACCTCTCTGTTTTATGGTTCCTCTGATTAAGCCTGTGGGCTTTCCTGTGTTCTTACACTTAGCGTGGCTGTCTGTCTGAGGTAAAGCAAAATAAAAAAGCCATAAAATGTTCAAATAGCCACCCAGATTCCTTCACTCAGCAAGGCATACTGATGAAGGGAATTGAGATAACGTTGAGTGGCCAAAACATTGCTATTCTGGTACTTCAAAGCAGCTTGACTGCAAAATAGAATAGAGCCTGGAGGTGAGGTCGAGCTAGAGTGATTGGCCATACTACTTAAATGTTTAACACTTTTTCTGCTTTGTCTGTGACCAGTGCCAGGACAACATCCTTCCACAGTTCTGAGGATAACAAATGCTATGGATGTGGTTTGGAGGATAATAAATGCTGAATGCGCAGTATGGACAAGACTGTGTCAAGCTTGGCTCCCTCCATCCTTTTCCTTTTAACACTCCCTCAGCAGTCTCTACACCCTCAACCTCTCACGCATGTCTGTCTATATCCATAAAAGACAAACCCTCAGGCTATGCCTATCTTACTAAAGTAGACATTTTGGGGAGAATATTCCTGGGTGCCAAAATGCCAATTTTTATATGGATGGATTTTTAGAATTATCTTCACTATTTTAGTCCAGACCACCCTTGTCTTTCCAAACAGTTCCTGAAATCTCCTTAGGGAACCAATGCAACCAAGGCACCATGGACAATAGGCAATTTGGTTGTAGACTTCTTATTTTGGACACTAAGAGAATTTAGTAGCATTCATGGAGAACATTCTGTGCTAGGTGGTGCCAGAAAATGGTCTTGGACATGTTTAACTTACTACTGTAGAGTCACAGTTTCATAGTTTAAAAAAAAAAAAAAAAGACTGTGCTAGTAGGCTGCAATGCAACACTCACCTTAATATAGACAATTTGAAGTAAAAACAAAGAAACACAAGAAAAACAATTTTTTTTCTGAGGGTCACAGATGAAACTCAAAACCAGCTGCTATGTAGTGTGAACACAGGCAGACTATGACTGTACTCAACACCATAAAATACTCTCTGTCCCTGTTATCTCCAATATATGTAGAAATACAGGTGTAGTTTTAAGGGCCTTTGCAATGGACTATAAATAATAAAAGTCCTGTGACTGTGCTGGGTAGCGTTATAGAAAACTTATGTCTCCAGTTGAAGGAAAGGGAGAGAGAAAAAGATGACATCCAAACTGGCCATGCCTTATCACAGATCTTTTAAGCTGGTTAGAGAGGAGGCTCTTAAGAACTGGGCCACCTGTATCTTGTTTTCCCTTTTTAAACAGTTTACCATTACATTCTTAAATTATCCCTTTATGTGGAAAAAAGAAGACAGACTATAACATACTGGGTTTAGTCTGTAGGCAGAAAGTATTTCTGCTACATAACATACTGTCCACTATTAGATTTTGCAAAACACTGACTAATCTAGTTGAACTTTGAAGTTTGCTAAAATGAACAGTCAACATACAACAGCTTTACAGCTCTTTTCTTGCTATTACCAAGGATTAGTTTAGACTCATTCATGCAGTCTGGTATCCAAAACATGACCAAAATTCATAGGTCTGGGCGTTTTGGATCCTTCTTGCTGCTGGCTGCGGTAACCCCAGCAAAGTGCTCTCCAACCCCAGTCATTATGTTCTGTTTTTCCCTAAAGCTGGACAGGTAGCTTTTTCATGAAGGCTCAGCACTAATACTTAGCTGTCAGATCAAACAAAATTCATTCTAATTATGTTGAAGAAAAATACAGATGCTGTGGAAATTCCCAGAAGGACTTTATAACAGGTGTGTGCTGACACTTACAAAATATACAGGCGAGTTAAACAGTATTATTGACATTCACTTTAGGATTCAAGACCACAATTACCTTTAAATTCTGTGAGAGGGTCTGACTCCTGGATTTCCCCAGCCATCCACCCCACTCTCCCCTTTTTATGAGGCATTCATTAGATCTACTCTGGTAATAATATTTATGCCAAATAATTCAGAAAAGTGCCTTATTACCCTGCTCCCCAGGATTCAAGTACTCTCTGGCTCTTTTCCTGCTCCACGCATGAGAGACAGCAAGGATACACAGGACAAATGTGAATACCAGAATGTCTTCTTTTCTTTCTACAGAGCAGCAGACTTTCACCAGCAATAATGCTAAATTGATCATTAATTACTGGAGCTGCATTCTTTCAGAATTTTATCTGTAATAGCTATGCATTATAACAACATTACAAACTCACACAAAAGTTTAAAATTATTCTCTTACTAGCCTGAAGACATCTCTAGAAGACAAAGGTGAAAAAAAATATGCCTTCAGGAAGAAATACTTTCCCGCAACATTACAAACTCACACAAAAGTTTAATATGATTCTCTTACTAGCCTGAAGACATCTCTCAGTGACAAAGGTGAAAAAAAATATGCCTGCAGGAAAAAATCCTTTCCTGTTCCTAAGTTTGGCAACTGATCATACCTATAACATCTTGAAAACACAGCATGTTTCCATTATAGGGCTGGGAAGGCATCCCCCATCTGTTCTTTTCACTTAGCTGTGTCGTACAATATTTGAGAGAGAGCATTTTTACCTGTGACAATATAGAAAACCTCCAAGGCAAATTGAATGGCATTATCATCATCATCATCATTATTATTATTATTATTATTATTATTACTGTAATTCATAAGATTGACCACAAATCTTCATGAGAATATTTGTGCTTGAGCTAGACAGAGTTCAGCTAAAACCCTGTCGTAACTAAAAAAGGGAGCTGGGTACAAACTTATGTTTGAAGTCCTTCCCATCTTGATGATAGCCATCGACACTCTGAACCCTCTTCTGAGGGTAGGTGCTCATCAGAGTAAGGCTTAGTCTTTTCAAAACATACACCCAATGTTACCTGTGAGTGGGGGTAAAAATGCAGAAGGGGTGTCAGTTCAGTCTGACCCCCTTTAGGGTGTGAGGCACAAGAGTTATGGAGCCTGCAGGAAAGACAAGAAGGTGTGTGTCTGTAGCCTGGTGGCTAACTCAGGTGCTTCTGGAGGGGATGCGGCATTAATGGGCAAATCCCCAGCTGCACCTAAAGAAGGTGTGCTTTCAAAGGGCAGCATGACAAGCTCCTTTGCCATCCTTTTCAGGTCCTGATGCTACTACAATCATCCTAGTATATATTGGTCAAGATATCCAGCCCTGTATTGATAAAACTTATGTATTTCTAAGATTGATAAAGCTGTGTTTTTCACAGTGCCCATTTAATACAGAAAACAGATTAAACCCCCACAAATACTTTGTGGGTTATTTTGTAATAAAAGAGAAAGAGTTACCCAACAGAGTATATTTTCTACAAAGGGGATAAGACAGTGCTTTCTAACAAGGAATTTAAAAGAAATCTAGAAAAGAAGAGTTACAGTTGGAAATTTAAGTTACTGCACCTTCAGTTCAGATCGTTCTTTATAAGCAGTGGGGAGGGGCGGGTGTCAGTGTGTAGGAATTATGGAATGGAAGCCAGGAAAACACAAAGCAATGAAAAGATCCATAGGTACATATGCATACCAGTCATTCTGCTATTAAGAATAAAATTTAAAGCCTTTTTTTCTGGCAGACTTCCCACTGCAAGAGTTTAATTTCTCCTCCCACCTGCTTCTCCTCAGGAAAAATGTAATGAACTGAGAAAGACATTTGCATTATTCATATTTGCTATTTAACAAATTCTTGGGTACACGATTCAGAAAAATATCAGAAAGTAGCATTCTCTATATTCCTAGCCTTCTATTAAAAAGTTTCCAAATGGAGATACTTGTTTCACAATCATATGCTATTTCCTGCTTTTAGAGCCAGTATTTTAACCCACAAAATCTTTTTTATTCCCGTGAACGTCTCCTTATTTCAGCCAATAATAATCTTTGAGGCAGAACCTTTCTTTTTTAAATTCTATGTATATGAAATTTGCTACATATTCCTGTCTACCATAACAGCAATAGCTTAAAAGAATCCCTAGGAAGTCACTTAAGTGAAACTCCCCTCATAAATTTAGATCAGCTATCTCCAGTTAAATTATGTTTTGCAAGGAGTTCCTCACCAAATCCTGCAAAATTTTCTCCCTTATTCACCCCACAACTCATGTTAAGTTAATAGGTCTTTAATTGCTTGCTGTATCTCATGTCTCTTTTGTGAATAATGTTGCCAATTTCCTGTTCTCAGAAGTGAAACAAGTTCTCAAGCTACGGTGTAGCTATATTAAGGATGATATGGTTATTACAGCATAGCAGTAGAAATGCATGATCAAGAGAGAGTTCATGAAATTTATAAACACAGAATGCAAATGAAAGATAAAAGTTAAAATTGGTATTGGTAAAGCATTATTTGAGGGTCAGATACTCCCACTCCATTTTAAAAGGTACTAACCCAGACTCGGCAGCAGCGTTACTTGCTGGGAAGGGTCACACTCAGGCACTGCGTACTTAAGTTTGCAGGGTTTGTCATGTACAACGCCAGGGAAAATCAGGCTTCACAATTAGTGGATGTGCATAGAGGCTGGTGTCCTGCACCTTTTCTATCAACATTATTGGCTGCTGCCCTGGATGTAACCCAAGTTCAAGCAGTTACAAAAGCTTAAGAAAAGCCAAGCTGAGCCCATCTGCTGTTGGACTGAGGTGAAGCATCCTCAGTCCCTCCTGTCCCCTGTCCACCCGGACCACAGAACCATGAGATTGGTTGAACAGTAAGCAGCCTTCGGCTTTGCTCCAGAGGCCGGTCTGAATCCATACCTGAGCGTGAACTTGTTTGGAAACAACGCAGATGGTAGGCTTGAGAGTCTAGGCTTGAAAACAGGCTTCACTCTCCATGTAGCTGCCAAGGCAGATACATGGCCAAGGGCTCCTCCAACTGTGGGGGCTGTTTGGGGTCCCCGCCTCTTGCACAGGAGTGACATATAATTAGTTTTTGTGGAAGAGTGCCCTGTGCATGGCCTAGAGGGAGGATGGTTTCCAATTGCACAGTCCATGACATAAGAAAGCAAGTAAAATTGAAAAACTGTGCCTAGTTTTCTTAATATGAATGCCATTTCAACTGCATTTTTATGATGATCTGAATGACAAGAACATGTCTAATTAAAAAGACATAACATTTGGGGCTTTTCCATTCAGGGCCAAGATTTCTGAGTTCAGTGTTCTCATAAAAATTATTCCAATAGGGACCATTACAAACTGCTGTTGCATTCCTATAGAAATTAATATATTAGCATCCATGCTGAAAACAGAAATTCTAGAAAATATTCCTAACGTGCAAGAGAAATATCCTTCTGAGAAACTGCCATCACTTTCAAAATACTTCTAAGCTAGCACAAAAACAGTGTCTCTTAATTTCAGAAACTCAAAAAATGTGGGGTAAAAACAGTCTCTTGTACACAGGAAGAACATTAAACAAAGCAGAGAGAAGGCTCAGTGCCATTCACTTCCATTGGCCGAGTCTATAGGGAAAAGATGGCCCTGCCAAATTCAATTTACTTTATTATGTTGGGGAAAATAATGCTTCTCTTAAAAAAACACAGATTCAATTATAAATATAAGCAATTATGTTCCATTTTGCAGAAGGTCATGCATACAAGAAAGAGGCACATGGAATTGTTTCAAGAGTTAAATCAGAAATTTCAGACGCTGGACAGATTTCGGGATGTACCAAAATCTGGCAGTATGGTAAGTTTTCCTTCTTAGATATTTCAAATATGATGGATCCTTAACAACAACAATGAAACAAGAGTCCTTTGAATTCAGGATATTTCCCAAGAAGACCTCACTCTCTGCTACCTTTAGATAGCCTCAGAAATTAGAACAAAAGATATTTCACTAATCTAACCTATGACAAGACTCATTAGGTTTTACAACTAGACCATAACTAACTCACTGACATCATTATAGATGACAAGTAATTGAACTGTAGGGAACACATTTCAAATCTGTATGTGTCCACCAAGTCTAAAGGACTTTATATAGAGAAAGCAGCTCACTAATGTAATTTGGCCAATAGGGCTTTTCCTCTAGCTAGGCAAGCAGACATTAAATTAGTTACTACAAACAAGTCCAGCTAGATAAACCGATACGTGAGACGGTCCAGAAAGCACACAGGGTCTCTGTAATGCCGTGTCTTTTCCATAATACGTTTATAAATATTTACCATGGGAAAAGCAAAAACTAAATCATCCTGGTTGACTCGGCTATCATCATAATTCAAATCTATACACACACACTTATACACACATGCATAACACCCTGACTACATCTGATAATGAAAGCAAGGAAATAGTGGATTCTGCCTAATTAAAACAGCTAATGTAGTGTGACCTATTTGTTAGCAGTAATAGTATGATTAGTAATAATTTTATATATAATTTTATAATGTGAAAATTGTATATTAAATGGAACTGAGCTAGAATCATTGTATTCTATAACTTTTTCAGAAGAGCTGCTCTCAGACATGAAGAAGAGGTATTAAGCAGATGTGAGGCCAATGGATTTACATCATTTACATCATCTTAATCCAGCAGAAATTTGGCCCTGATTCTTTGATGAACCTTTAGCTGTGATATGTGTTATTTTGCACCCAGTTCTCGCTCACTCCCCCTTCTGAGATTTGCTGACATGTAAAGTTTGCATTCGCCTCCCCATTTGAGATTTGCTGTCTGCGTAAAGCTTGAATTAACTCAAAATCTCAAAGGGAATCTCAGTGGAAGAGTTGTGTTTACTCTGTTTCACATCGGAGCTATGTTTTTGAAAGGTCTGCTAATAAAAGCTGCCTAGAAGAATGGTCTATCTGTAAGACAGTCAGAGAGTGATCCAGGTACCTAAATATAGGCATCTCAGGCTATTTTAGACAGCCTCAGATGTCTTAGTCTACAGCACGGTACAGGCAGTGGTGACACAGGACTCAAAGGAGACCTGCACCTCTCATGCAGCGCTACAGGCTTGGGGAAGAGTGGCTGGAAAGCTGCCCAGCAGAGAAGGACCTGGGGGTGTTGGTCGACAGCCGGCTGAACATGAGCCAGCAGTGTGCCCAGGCGGCCAAGAAGGCCAATGGCATCCTGGCCTGTATCAGAAATAGTGTGGCCAGCAGGAGTAGGGAAGTGATCGTGCCCCTGTACTCGGCACTGGTGAGGCCGCAGCTCGAATACTGTGTTCAGTTTTGGGCCCCTCACTACAAGAAGGACGTTGAGGTGCTGGAGCATGTCCAGAGAAGGGCAACGAGGCTGGTGAGGGGTCTGGAGAACAAGTCTTATGAGGAGCGGCTGAGGGAACTGGGACTGTTTAGCCTGGAGAAAAGGAGGCTGAGGGGAGACCTCATCGCTCTCTACAACTACCTGAAAGGAGGTTGTAGCAAGGTGGGTGTCGGTCTTTTCTCCGAAGTAACAAGTGATAGGACGAGAGGAAATGGCCTCAAGTTGCGCCAGGGGAGGTTTAGATTGGATGTAAGGAAAAATTTCTTTACTGAAAGAGTGGTGAAACATTGGAAGAGGCTGCCCAGGGAAGTGGTGGAGTCCCCATCCCTGGAGGTATTTAAAAGACATGTAGATGAGGCGCTTAGGGACATGGTTTAGTGGGCATGGTGGTGTTGGGTTGACGGTTGGACTCGATGATCTTAGAGGTCTTTTCCAACCTCAATGATTCTATGATTCTATGATTCTATGAAAGATAGTTGGATATCAGGCAGAAAATCCAAAGGCATCTAAAATGGTGCAAAAATGTTAGGTTTTGGCAACTAAGTCCCACCCAACATGTTACAGCAGAAATCACTAATTAAATTGGTCTTAGTCCATAATGTCTTTTACCCTATAAAACTTAGCATTCAAAAAAAAAATTCATTCAGCAGAAAATAACCAGCTTTCAGCCTGTTAATCCTAATATGCATGAGCTCATCAGCCTGTAAAGCAAGGTAGCTCTCACAGCATTTTCAAGGACTAGGTTTCCATGGTTCTGTCATTCACCTGCCCCAATTTAGAATCCAGCTGGCAATCTCCATTTCAAACCACCCCGTATTTCAGACAGCAAGCTCTTCTCAATTACCTTCCCTTCTCTTCTCCCACTTTTCTATACAACCACTATTAAAAAGATGGCTATTGGGACTGGATCACTCGGCCATTCCTCATGTACATTGGTTCTTGTGAAAGAAAGGGCTTAGCTGGCAGCTCAGGTGAGGAGCCTGCCAAAGTGTTGATTGTTCACAAGGAAAGAGTCACAACGGTGTTGAACACCCGCCAGCCTGGCTCCCTGCAAAGTCATTTCCACTCTCTGGCTTCTCTGTCTCATGAGAGCACATTAGCCATCAGCCTTATAAACAGAAAACACATTATTTCATCCTTGTTTTTAATGCTTCTTTCTTCTCTGGTCTTCAGGAGAACTCAGCACCGAACAAGGCTCCATGGGACAGTTTCAAAACCACAAGTGACTACCAACACTATACAACGATAAACGTATTAGACACAGAAGCAAAAGATGCTTTAGAACTCAGACCAGCAGAATGGGAGAAGTGTCTGAACTTGCCTTTAGATGTGCAAGAAGGTGACTTTCAAACAGAAGTTTAACAAAAATGAAAACAAACTGAACAAAACAAAAACAAAACAAAAATAATTCATTGCACTGACAATAAAGAGACTTTGGGAATCCTGACGCTCCTGTCTGAACATTGTGACTACTTTATGTCAGGCTCTTCCTGTGCCAAATGTCAGTGATTTTTTTCGTACAGTATATTCCCACTAGTGCGGCTAGTGGAGAACCAGGTGTACAATTCTTACCATCGTGTGTTGTAAGTACCCGTGGAATGGATTTGTAAGGTAATCTTTATAGATAAACCTCAAGCAACGATTCATGTTGTAACAGCTTCATTTGGTTTAGTTTTCAAAAAACTTCACCATGAAGCACAATGTATATATTTATGCAGTTTTTAAAGTTTATAACAGTCTGTTTGGCCATTACTACACTTTTTACTTTATAATATAAAAGCAAAGTTTTTGTCATTAAATGAATGTCTGTTGAGCTACATTCTTCATTGCTTTAAATGCAATAAAGTAATAATCTCCATTTTATATGAATAATATATTTCACATCTTTATTATTGCAGTTTTCTCTGGAAAGCTCAGAGTAGCTTTCTCTGCTGCAGCTGTGTATAAAATATTTAAAATGTTGTATGGTGTAAATAAACCTTTGTCTACATATCAGTTTCTTAGTGCATTTTATTCTGTATTTGTTTATCTTAAATTTGCATATTTATAAAATTTTCTTTTAAAACAAACATATTGAATATGTATTTGGAGTTTTAAAAGTATGTTGTTCTAGCTCTTGCAAGGAGTTTCTAAAGCATATTAGTAGGTTTGTATAGCCATTCTGCATTTTCTTAGGTATTCTTTTGTGACAATGTACCATATAAATTGGACTTGTCAGAATACGATTACAATTGTTCTGTTTTATAAGAATTTTTGTCTTGTTGCAGAAAGACAAATAATGGAAAACAAGTTAAGTTTCAATGCACAGCACCCAAAGAAAGTGTTTATTTAGAATCATTACGTCTTGTGCATGGTCTTGTTGCTGTATAAAAAGAAGAAAGACTTTAAAGATAAAAAATTCTGAAGTATTTTAGACAAAAAAAATTGAGTGTGTTTCATATTATAAATCAAGAGCAGAGCATAATTTATATTGAAAATACAGTTAAACAATTAGAAATAGAAACACTAAATCCCCCGTTCCGTGCTTAGAACCAAAAGCAGATCTTCAAAGTCTCTCCTCATCTACAGCATAGCTGTAGGGGGTGGGGATGGGAGGATATCTCAAATCTTTAGATGCCATATTTCTAGAAAAAAAGTTTCCAGAACTATTTTAGTTCCTGCTGTACGGAATTGAATATGCTGCAGCCTACTAGCTGGAGAGCTCTTAGAGAGGAAGAAAACATGACCACTAATCTGCTTAGGAAGAAAAAAAACTAGAATAGAAACTTGTCAGTGAGAACTTAACCCAGAGCATTGGTAGGAGGAGATCGTCATCCATATGTTGAGAGAAAAGTACTTAGGACCAACCTCAGGACTAACCTTCAGGAAAGTGTTTCAGTCTGTAAATCCTTTCTCCAGGCCATAATAAGGTACTTAAATCATGAAAAGGAACCTGATTTTGCCTACTTTGAATGAACATCTCATGCAGAGTGCAGACTTCTCTAATCTATTGCTTCAGCATCTAAATCTTTACACAAATACAAAATAACTAGCTACCAACAGGGTATCAAGTCCATTAACTGGTTTAGGTGCCTAGAAGTTAGATGATGTAGTATTGCAACACATCAGTCAGTCAGAACTGGCACTTTATCAAGAGGCTGATGCAGAAGGAGGCATCTGGCAAGGCTGGCTATGCAGCCTACTAACATCACACCTCTCAGATCAGATAGTGCACCAAAAGCCTCTCTCTCTTGTTTTATATCAAGTTCTAATCTAAAAGGGGTTTATTTTCCCTTTAGATAAAGATACAACAGAAACTGCACATTTTTTAAGGATTTCATCCAGTATAGTAGGCACCTCTCAAGCAGAGCATGTTTTACAAAATTTCTGATTTTTGAGACCAAATCAGGAAGCTTAGGCCCCTGAATCCAGATATAAGCCTTAGCATTCTCCTTGATTGATCTAAACATAATACAAATATAGAGCACCTTGGTATTTCAATAACTATAGTGCAGAGATTATTTGCATAAGCTTTATATCACCTAACTCCTGTTCAATAGCGGTCTAGTTACAACTGCAGAAAGCTTAGGGTAGGCTGCAATCTTACCCAGAAAACATGATAAATCTGTCTACACTCAATACACTGCTGACCTAGTTGTGCTGTTATTAATAACCCAGTTGCTTCAGGTTTAACATTAACCTGGGTATTTATGTACCACACAGCAGTCACAGATGTTCTTTCAGTGTATGAGCAGCAATGTTCAGTGCCTCTTTATTTAGAGCTTGTGCTGCCCTGCCCAGAAAATGCTAGACATTTTTATTTTCTGATATATTTCATATTTAGAAATATTAAGAACATGCTGAAACCCAGTGCATTTGCCTACTGATTTGACTGCTTCACGTTAAAGCAGAGTTTGTTCTCCATAAGCAAGATGCTGCACGTACTTACAGTTTGCTGCTCAATGTCTCTGAAATGGTACGAGTCAGACTGAACCCAGCGGAAGAGTACAAACTTGTATGCACTGGCTTAAATTTTGGTAGAGCACTGATGAGATGTTTGGCATTATATTATATGCAAATAAAAATTGAGTCAGAACTCCCTACGTTATACTAGTCACAGAGACGACAGGGGGCTCTGCATTTGCCTTCCAGGGCGGGCTGGTGCCACTCGACGTGCCCTGTGCTACCTCACCTGGCCTCCAGCTGCAGTTACAGAAAAGTTCAGGTGCTTGAGGGCTCAGCTAACCAACGTTGCTGAAGCCTGCACTAGAGTATATTGAGGCAGCTGAGCTCAGCCTAGAGTTTACCTTGATCCAATTTAAAATACGCATTCCCTAGATGTATATAGAAAAAGCAAATACTTTTTTGGGAAAGGCATCATTTTCTCAACAGTTTAAATTACATTAGTAATCATATAAGACCATATGCAGTTTCTCTATCTTTGTCTTCCTCTTACATACATATACAGAGAAAGATTTTTTCCTGGCAAGTCAATGCTAAGCAAAATATGGCCTGCACTTTTCTGTATAGGGAAGCAGTGCATACAGGAAATCTAGCTGAGCGGCCATAGGTCACTCAGACAGCAGTTCAAGATATCCATGATTTCACATCCAAGGCTGTGTAAAGGGCTTTGGTGTTGCTGGCATAAAAGCGCTAACAAAGTTATTTGCTACATGGACTCTTGCCAATGTGATGTTATTTAACGCAGAATCTTCTGGGGAGGTAAACTCTGAATTAGTCATTATTGAACTTCAGCCAATACTCTGCAATATCTCTTGGAAAGAAGAAGAAGAAGGAAAGAGACACTAAGTGCTGCTACAAGGAATGAGAGGAAGAATAGCAGTGCTGCCATGCTGATGCACCTTTGGAGTGCCATGGGCTTAATGTTGGTATATATGTAATGCTAATGACTCCTTATGATGAAGATTTAGGACGAAGCTGTAACAAAAGACACAAACAGATAAGGGTCTTTTCCATTTCATTCACTACTGGGTCTGAATTTCTCCATAATCAGTGAAACAGTGCTCTTCTCTGGGAAATGTCCTGACACTCCTCCTGTAAGAACATCATTTGTTTCTATGATGAGAAGACATAAATCACCTAATATTGTTTTACACAGGATTAAACTGGGGTAGTTTCTCTTAAAAACAAACAAAACCCCAACCAAACAAAAACCCCAAGCCCTGAGCTGCACCAGGTGAAATGTTCTCTGATGCTTTGGCTTGTCTCCATTTCCCACAGTTGCTAGGCAATGATGTACTTAGAGACCAGATTTAACAAAAAGTCCGCTTCCCGCTTGGAAGCAGGCATCCACCTGTCACAGCATCAGCAGTGTGCTTTCCATCGGGTTATGCAAAAGGATATGGAAATCTCTGTTAGCAATCAGCAGATGGAGACATTGTGTATTGATAGTAGACTTTCAGTTCCTCAGGCATTAGCTCAAGGCTGTGCTGTATCTCTGGATAAGCCACAAGAAGCAGTTTGTATGAGCAAACATTATTTCCCTCTCAAAAACTGTTATAGGGCTCTCTTGTACAACCAAGCCCATTCTCATGTGCTGAGGGAAATAAACAGAGAGGTTGAATACGTGTTTGGGGAGCTGTGATTCATTTCGAGCCAGGTCTCAACCAGTGTAATGCTGTAATCTTTTCTACCTACTTTTCTAGAAACCTCTTTCTTTGCAAGGGAAGCAAAAGAGGCTTCACTAGGAACAATTCAATTGCTGATAAGATAGGCATGACTACTAACCCTAGCACTCCCACTGAAATGTTCTGTCCGTTAACTACAATTGTAAGGTAAAGAAAGAGCCACTTATCTGGTTTTGACAAAATTGTCTCTTAGATAGGCTGCATTAGACCATCCTGTGGCAATGAGTTACTCAGATTAACTACACTACAGTACTGCTCCTCTTGTTTGTTCTCAACCAGTTTCATTTTATACCTCATTATTTCTTATAAGGAACAGTTAATAACTTTTAGCAATTCAGCTTCCTTTCTTGACTATGCAGGCTTTTGCTATAGGCCCCACAGTTACTCTTTTTCGGGATTACAAACCCACGCCCAGTTAGTCCTCACGTGGAAGCCCTTCCCTGATTTCTACCATCCTTGCCTCCTTTACAGCTTTTCCAGTCTGCTAAAGTTCTTAAATAATTCTCAGTAAATCCTGAACTCATTAGAGCATTCTGTTTAATCCTTGCAGAAAAAGGAAAAACTCAACCATGAAGCTTCCAAAATGCCTTTTCATTTGGGGGGAGGGGGGCACCACTCAAAAATACCTGAATTTTAACTTTTTTATCTAACTATTTAATAGAAAATACATAACCATCTCTTTGAGCAAGAAATGGGCACCAGGCAGCTTCTCTTAAGTAATCGTCTTGAGAAGTG